TCTTGTGTTGGTTGTTGGGGGGGGGGGGGTGTGCAGGTTCGCTCATTTTCTCCACGCTCGTCGCAACGGAAAAGCGGGACAGAAATTTCGCTTTCGGGCCGTGGAGGTTGGCTTTATCGTTTTGGCCTTAAGCGCCGTCGCGCTGCTTGGCTTTTTCAAAACAAGCCGTCAGGGAAACCGGGGCCGTGCCATGCGAGGAGAGGGAAAGAAATGCCTCGAAAATGCCGAACGCCGGCGGGTGGCAGGGGCAGAGCCCTGCCTGCCCTCCCCTCCCGCCGGCTCCCCGGCAGCCCGTGCTGTACCTGCATTTCAAAGAGTGCAAATAGAATTTCAGCGTTTCATCGCCGATAAACGCTGCGGATCGAAGCACTTACTGTTCATTTAAACAAAAATCAGAATACTGCGTTTTAATGGCCATATGGCAACATTTTCTCAAAGGCTTCGAATGTATACACACGATGTCAGATATATTTTGACTTCTCTGCATTAATTAAAAGCAGTGATGTTAGGAATTATTTGCATGTAATAACTGTTTACTTGTTCCTCTTTATGAAACTTGAATAGTTTACATTCTTTCATACATTTCCTTTTTCCTGTTGGCTCCTTCTCCATGTTGCAGTTTCTTTAAAACTCTCCACTTAACTGGTTGCAGGTTGATGGATGGAAAATGTTTTTCTTTTATGAATTAAGCTTTCATTTCTGTAATCAATTATTGTCTTAGGCTCTTTTCTTTCTGTTCTTTTTTTTTTTCCTTCATCCTCCTTACACAAATTTCCAAACTGAATGCAACCCAATCTCAGCTTCACTCTTGAATTCATTATTAACTTTCCTCCTCTGCAGTCCCAAGCTCTGGATTAACAGTAGTTTACAGTCTCAGAAAGCACTTGGGTGAATAGTCTCCTTCCTTGGGCAGAGTCCTGGCAAACTCTCATTGCAGCAGTGGAAACACCTCCACTGCCTCTAATGGGCTTCGGAGCGAGGAGCGTAACACAAGTGCTGATTTTGTTTGGGTTTGGGGTGGGTTTTTTTTACATATTCTTGTGGGACGAGGCTTTGTAATGTTTGCAGAGAAATAACCCCATCGGGGCTCGCTGGGGCTGGCGTGAAGGTGGCACAGTGGGGTTTTCTCGCAGCGTGAAGCGTGTGCTTAGTTCCCCATGTACGGCCGTGCTTTCCCGGCAAGGGGCCCTTTCAGACCTATTTAGTGTGAAAAATCGTTTCTATTGAGTTTTTATTCTGGGTGTCACCCTTGCTTTCCCTTGTTTGGCTTAATCTCTGAAAGCCCGGTGCTGGTTTCGTTCATTCTGGCAGAAATCTGGATTTGCTGCAAAATATTTTGTTGGAGCAGAGCTCTGTGTCTGTGTATAAATGTTTGTGTAAATCCGACGTGTGGACGCGTGCGTCTGTAAACACGCACAGTCTGCCTCCGTGGACAGCCCGTAACGCGTGCCTGAGCTGCGGGAGCCCCGTAAAATCAGAAGCAGCGAGGCTCGCGTTTTGAAAACAGGACTTGAAAGGGTTCAGAATTGGGCATTTTTTTGTATTAACGTGTCTGGGATCGTTCCCCGGCACTGAGCTGGGAAGAGCAGGTCCTTACCCCCCCGCCCCCTCCAAAATTACCATCTCCATGTGCAAGACAAAGGGAGGGGAGAAAGACCAGTTTCCCCCTGTGCCTCGCTCAAAAAAAAACCCCCACACCCTTTTCTGCTCAGTTTGCACTGTATAAAATGAAAGCCAAGGCCAGCGGGGTGCTGCGATGCCCGCTGCACCCCATCGCCTCCTCTCCCAGCCGGAATATCCCCCCCGGAGCATCCCGCGGAGCCGTGGGTGCTCCCAAACCCACCCAGGAGCTGGGATCCAGCCCCACGCAGCCGGCGAACCGCGGCTGGGGCCGGGGCGCGGTGGGAATGAGTAACCTCAGCCCGGCTTCCCGAGAAGGCGGGAAATGAGTAAAAATGATGCTGAGTAATAATTGTCATTTTCGATTCATGGGAGGATTTTTGAGAGCTGTTAAGAAACGCAAAAATGGCCCGGCCGGCCCCAGGCTGCGGCCGTCCTCCCTGGAGGTGCCGCTCGGAGGTATTCGTATCTGCAGCGAGCTGGGAGGGGAACTGAAATGCAGGGAAATTATCTCACATGGAGAATAAAAAATGGCAAATAAAAATATCGGATGCAGTAGTGAGTAGGGGAGCCGGGCGCGGAGCTGCTGGGCTCAGCCTCTCCTCAGGCACGCAGGAGGGTTATGCGTCTCACAAGCCGGACGCATGCAGACCGAGGGGCTCCCTCCCCTTGCCTCTCCTCCCGTGGAATTTCCTAAATAATTGCTCCTAATAACCCTCATCCCTGCACTCCGGTCCTGCAAACGTTTTGCCAACAAATACTCCGCATTGGTTGTTTTTTACGTGGCCGTGCAGGCGCGCGGGAGCCTTCATGCTTCGCAGGCTGCGGCAGCCCGGCTCTGCTGTGCAGGTTGGCAGCGCGACCGTTTCACCGAGGGTTCAAATTGTATTTGGGAGGGTAAAAAAAAAAAAAAAAATAAAATTCCTTTTTCCGCAGAAAATGAGCTGAAGGTTTGTGCACTGTTTAGTCCTGTTTTGAAAGCTGAGGTAGGGCATGGATTGATGCTTGCTGTCTGCTTTAAAGCCAGCATTTCATCCCACCCCTGACACTCCCGTAGAGAAACTCTCCCACAAGGGATAATTGCAGGATGTTCTCCGGAGGAGATAATTTAATTTTTCCTTTTTTTTTTTTTTTTTTCCTTCTAGCTGTATAAATACTGTTTTGTTTTGTTTTGCTATGGATATTCTCAGGTCCAACCCTGTAGATAGATGATGGTTGGGATCTGAAAACCCCAAATCCCTTTTAGGGGAAAAGGGAAAGGAGGTGGTTTCTTACTGCATTTATCTGTGAAATAAAGGCTGGAGGAGCTAAGGGCTATTGCACGGGCATTTCCAGCCTCAT